AGAAAAAAATAAAATTCTATCCCGCCTTTAAAATTCATGCTTCTTCCTTCATGAAACCCTCTTAGATTTCCTCAGGGAGTAGTTTTGCTTTTGCCTCTGAATCTGCACAGCAGTTTGACTTTCCCTTGCAGCTTGTAACCTGCATTTCCTATTCTGGAATGCAAGCAGCAAGAGGCAAGATCTGGTTCATTTCCTCTTTGTATTTCTATTCCTCATGGAGTAGGGGACTGATGTGTATATCTCCACCGGAATGAGCTGGAGCCTGTAGTTTAGCAAAGGTGGGAACCAGGTGCTATGAGGCTTCAGGAGATGACAGGGGTATGCAGAATGGGGAGTCAGGGCCTGGACAGTGAGGGCGAGAGACAGTCTTGGTCTCCTTAGAACTGACCAGGGAGGAGAAACCCTTTGCTGAAGAGAAGGGTAACTGGGAAGCAGTGGCTGAGGGTGGGTGCCAGGTGTTGGGAGGGACTCCAGGTTACCCTAAGCCAGATCTGTGCATCTATAGAAACAGACAAAAAGGGGTGAGGATAAAACTTGGAGGCTTGGGGTCTGGTTGCTCCTCCTTCACGCTCTAGCTATTTAGCCTGGAGTAAATTAGGTCTCCTTTTGGACCTATTCAACTGCAAGATAAGGAAGGGTTAGGCCCCTGACCTCAGAGGACTCTTTCTGCTCTGCTACCCTCACCCCATGTCAGCTTGCTCCCTAGCCTCAGCAGCAGAAATGTTTCCACCCAGTGCCTGCACAGTGTTTCCCAGAAAAACAAAGGCCAGTGGCCTGGATGAGCTGTGACCTGACCTAGAGGAGGCAGAGGTGGTGGCAGGTGGAGACAACACCCTGTTTCACAGTAAGTAAAAGCACAATTTGGGACCTCTCCCCTTTCCTCTACTGTACTTCCTCTCCTCTTCCATGCTCCATCTCCTATCCAAGTGAGTTTGAATCCAGGTTACTCAGCTGTGTGGCTCAGAGAATGTCACTTAACCTCTCTGAGCCTAGGTTTCTTCATTTGTATATGTAGTGACTGAAACTGACCTAGATTAGTTAAGGAAACTGCTTATATGAAAGGCCCAGCATTGTACCTACTGCTGAACCTCCCTTCCTGGGTCTGGAAAAGAAAAACTGGTACTTATTGCTCTTCCAACCCAGGTCCCAGACAAATGGTCAGTGTTATTTTGCAGGGGTGCCAATGTGGGGTGAGGCCTGTGGAGGAGCTGGCTCATGAGGGGGTTTGATGGGACCTCCAGACAGAGAAACATTGCTCAAGCTGTCCCTGATTGCCAGTGAGATGACCACTCAGACTGTAAATCTATTTATTGTGTTGTGATGGAACTAGAAGCTGTCTGCAGTTTTTTTTTTTTTTTTTTGAGGGTCTAGGGTTGAGGCTGGCTGATGGCTTCACGCATCCTCATCTGTCAAGATGGGTTACTGGGCTGAATTTAGACAGAACGTTGCAAACAGCTTGCACTCAGAGTCCCGTAGCACTCGAATTTTTGCTTTTGTTTTTTTTTTTGTTGTCGTTTTTTTTTTTTTTTTTTTGAGGGTCTAGGGTTGAGGCTGGCTGATGGATACAAAGAGGGCGGTATGGCCTGGCCCTGCTCATTCACCATGGATGTTCCTGCCACTCTTTGAGCCTGGTTCATTCGAGGCTCCCAGTTTCTAATCTGGTTGGGAAGGATTTATTTTTGGGTCCCTGTAACCTAGCAATGGGCTCACATGACCAGTGGCAGCTGCAGGCTGAATATACTGTTGGATCTCAGCTCCTGGCAGGGGGTGTGGGCCAGACTGTGGGGGAATAAAAGGAACAGAAAGGCTCTCACCTCTGCCTTCCTCTCCTCTCTCCCAGCAGCCCCTCAGCCCAACCCACTCATATGGGGGCAGGGGAGGTAGATGTCTGGGGAATAGGCACCCCTGGTTCTGGTGCAGGGACCCTGAACAGCTGGGGCCTAAGCCAGAGTGGAGTGGTCCCAGGTGAGGACCGGCTTTCTGGATGTGTTTGTGTATGTGTGTGAAGGGGGATGTCCAGCGGATGGAGATGCATGCAGAGAAGACACAGTGCTGGCATGCTGGGGTGAGGCCAGTCAGGAGAATAGGCACTGAATAGGCAGTCTGTTGTGGGATCTCAGGGACACCCCTGGTCCATGCTGGAATCCCAACATTTTGCTTCTTCCCTTTGTTTCCTGTTAAATTGTTAATCTTCCTGGGAAAGAGAACACATGGAGCTGCTCGAAGTGTGAATGGATTTATCAAGCTCTTTCCTGAGAGCAGGCTTTGACAGAAGGCAGAGAAGGTGCACAGAGGGTATAGTTAAGCAGATGACACGTCAGGGAGGGGGCCAGGGGCACCCAGAAGGTCATTCGATATTTACTGAGTAAAGGATGCAGGAATGAAAAGTAACCTCAGTAGGCTTCAAGTTTCATCCTGTGCAGGAAAGTGTGGATAGGATGGATGAACCCTTTCAAGACGTGTGGGTAGGCAAAGGTGAGGTGGTGCTGTGCTGATGAGTAATTCTAGGATGTAGCAATCAGTGCTCAGCACTAACAGTCCTACTTGACCCCAAGGAGAGAGGCGCCACTGTTGGGAGGGGGCCTGCCCTCTCCCCATCCAGAACAGGGGTCTCAGGTGTGTACACTGAACCATGGATTGCTGATGTGATGTGATTTGGGCGACCACTCCCAGTTAATCTACCTTGGTCACCTCCCCTCCCCCATTGAACTAAACTCTAAAAAAGAACAATTGAGTAGTGTAGTGGCTCATACCTGCAATCTAGCATTCAGAAGGCTGAAGCAGGACTATCACAGATACAAGGGTAGCCTGGGCTACATAGCCAGACAGTCTAAAAAAAAAAATCTAAATAAATAGACAAATGGCTTAGAGTGAGAAATGTGATGTCAAAAGCTGCTCTAAACCTTCATTGAATGGGCCTCAAGAGCAGCAGCAGCAGCCTCCGTACTGTTAATTATGGGCATTGCTCTATCAGTTGTCCCCAGGCTTAGACAGGCAGCTTCTTCCCTCCCCACCCATCTGCCATTTTCTCTCTCTTCTGAGTCAAGATGGCTTCTAGTATCTGGGAAGATACTCTACAACTCACTATCTCCTTCATACCACCTTCCTCAGTAGCTTTCCAGTAGAAGGCTCAGTAGAGGCCCCACACCAGCTCCTTGGCCAGTCATGGTAACTGTACTAGGTCCCCTAAGGCTGAGAAGCAGACTCTATCTATATTGCAGTCTCTCTATCCCTTGTAGTGACAGTGGGAAATGAAGGATTTTGTCCTTTTCACAGAAGGAAAAAACATAGGCAACTCAGAAGCTGAGATCTTAGTACTAAACAGTAAAGTAGAATCAAACTTGAACCAAGTTTGATTTCCTGACCCCCAGTCTAGTAATTTTTTTTCCTATAATTCCATTGTAAAGATTCTGGGTCTGCTCTGGTTCCCTCCCAACCCCCTGGAAGGGATTCTGGGCTCTGTATCAGTCTGGACTTCTGCTTTGAGTGTCAAGTCAGGACTCCAGAAGCTTCCACTGGACCAAGGGAGATGGAGAAAGCATTTTGCCTTCAAACAGACTGGGATTCAAATATTAACTCTGGCTGTTTTTGGTTGGTATTTCCTCATCAGTAAAGCAGGGTGAGTAATGACTACCTCAAAGACTGGTGTGAAGACTGAAGATGCTGTGTGCTAAGGGTCTGACACTCCTTAAGAACTCAGAAATGGTGACTGGTGGTAGTAGAAATCACTTAGCCCCAGGGTTAGCCAGTTGTCTCTTTGTTGTTGGCTTGGGGCCAGAGGAAGCCAACCTGTACCTCTGAGTACCCTGGGTAAGCCACTGATTTTATGACTCTTTGGCTGTATAGTAAACAATTCTAGAATTTTCTTCCATTTTTGGAAACAGCAGGAGTTGAATAGGCAAGTGACAGGGCACAAGGCTCTAAAGCAAGCACCATATCTGATCTGAGTTCCCTGTTCAGACTCATGGCTCTACCATGTAGAGCTCTCTGTGGATTTTATGCAATCTGTTCACCTCTAGAATGTGGACTCTTTGTTATGTAAAAATTCTAACAGCTCTGCTGTGTTAGGACCCTATCCTCAGTGTCAGTCATGAACCCCAGGAACTGATTATGTTCTTTATAGCTAGTGGGAAGCCAGGCCCTTTATCTTCCCTCCAAAGGTTCATGATGCTCCATGAGTGATGCTCTTAGCTCTGTCTTGTCCTATAAACGCAGACCTAAGATCGGTGATCTTAGTCTTCCTTGGAACCTGGCTTCCACTCTGCCTTTAGCAGTGATGTGGAAGTATACATGATAGCTCAGGGAATGTTAGATCCCTCCATCTCCATAAGCCATCACAGCTTCATTCCAAATAAACATACAGTCTAAACAAATAACAATGATGTACTTGGGGTGGGGGATACTGGATCAAGACAAGGCCTTTGGCTCCTCTTCAAACCTCACTGCTACCTCTCAATCTGTCTGTTATACAAATTTGTCATTTTCCAAAGGGGTCAAACCTTGGACCATCCTCTGGACCTCAGCTCTTACCAGGTCTAATCTTGGAGCCCTGGGTATGCATTGATCTGCTTGCTACAAAAGTATCTTGGTCCTGGTGTCACACAGATCCATGTAGTAACAAGGCTGTCAGAAACCTTATGGATTATCTACCTATAATCCTGTTGAACAGGTACGAACCAAGGCCAAAAATGGAAATGACTTGCCTAAGGTAGCACAACTATTATGTGCCAAAGGGCCTTTTTCTTTACCAACCTGATTGGGAGGGTTTCCCCTGCCTGTCATCATCTGTCTCCAGAAAGCTTTTGAGATGCAGTCTAGAATCCTGAGAGAGGTAAAAGGGACTGAGCTCACTCCTGACCACTTTGCCTGGGCTCCCTAAGACCCAACTGTTTGCTCCTGAAGTGGCTTCAAGGAGCTGGTGGAAAGAAGGAGGCCACTAGGACCCAGAAGCTCTATGAGCATCTTGCTCTGCTGGCTGCCTCTCACCGCTTACTGCAGTGGTTCAGGCTTCATCAGCCTTGGAGAAGCATCAGCTGAGAGGAGCTATCACATGGGAGCCTGGAGCTGCTCAGCAAAGGTAGGAGTTGCCGACTAGGCCAGGAATGGGGGCCAGACCTAGGGCCTGGCAGGGAGTGCTGCCTCACCCTACAGAAAGCTAGCATTCCAAGGAGCAGCCTACCCTGTCCTATGGTGGGCAGTTTTGTCAGGGGATGAGGCTCCCAGGTGTCCCAAAAGCAGTACTAGGATGTGGGCATCTCTGAAGCCTAGAGATGGGGGTTGATCATCTCGTCCTGGCAAGAGTAGCCGCATCCTGCAACAGACAACATTCTCTATCTACCTTGCTCTGTGTCATAGAGATGGGTCCCCCACATCCTAGGAATGGGTCTTTTGGCATCCAGGCTAATGGGTATCTGAGTCCTGGGCCTGGGCAACTCTACTGGGGAGAAGTGGTGAAGGTCCCTGGAAATCTCCCCTGGTTTAGGAGGGGCATGTTCTTGCCTGAAGGCAGGCCAGGCTCTGAATCCTCGGGATAGAAGCTCTGTGTATGAGAAACAGGTGCATGTGAATCCCAACACTGCCTATGTGGCCTTGAGCTGGGCACATGTGTGCATCCTGCATCCTGACATAAGGATATCTGTCACTTGGCCATGGCCCTGCCAGAGCCTAGACCTCAGACCTATAGTGGCAAAGCCTTCTAGGTACTAAAAGGTCCTGGAGATGCAAAGGTGGTATTAAAGGAAGCAGTGGGAGGATGAGAGCATCTGTGGAGGTGGAAGGCATGATGACATGAGCTAGGAGTGGAGTCAGACTCCCTGGGTTTCCCATATGAAGCTATTACACCACGGCCCTCCCCTCCATAACCCACCCATCAATGAGGAAATGCTAAGTAGCCAGGTATATTGATCTGTCTGTTAGGAGGCAAACTGTAATCCCAGAATTTGGAGTCATTATAGAAATACTGACAAAACTGAGGGGGTTATAAGAAAGACATGCCCAATGCCTTCTTGTATAGGGCTCCATCATGGCTGCATAGCACCTTCCGTGTCAATGTGTCCACATGGACACCATGTCCGCTTTCCTCAGTCTGGGATCATAGCTAGGCCTTGCTAGATTAGACTCCTGCCATCCATCCACACGTGGTAGACCCTTTCTCCTCTGGCTACCAGAAACTCAAGAGACACAGCTGAGCCTCATTCCCAGGTAGAATGGTATGGAGAGTAAAGGGTAAAGATGCATCCTCTAGGATTTCTTTCAGGCATTTTTTTTTTTCCTGGTAGACTATCTTAGGAGAAACGGACATCTCCCTGGAGAGAGGCAAGTCTCTAGGCAGTTATCCAAAGTTAGGGATGCTGAAAATCCAGGAGCCTGGGCTATCCTTTCCAGAGGAGAATCCCCTGGCTGGCACACAGATGTCTGACTGAAATATTTTTGGAGTTTGTATTTGGGGGCAGGAATTCAGTTAGTCAATCTGAGTCTGATTCAACTCACAAAATTGCACTAAGCACCTCTTACATGCATGACATGTTAGAAATTATAAATATAAGGTTTATAGTAACACCAAACCCCCATAGTGATTGTAAGAGGACTTTGAGAAGAGCAAGCCCTGGCAGGCTATATGGTTGCAGTTATAAAAATGGTAAGTTTTTAAATGGAGTAACCATCCACTCCTCTCTAGCCCAGAGACTGGGAAATCCATCACAGAATAAAGTGTTATGTGTACGAACCTTGGTAGACTAGAAAGTCCAACCCTCCCATTCCACAGATGAGGAAAGTGTAGCCTGGGAAACTTTTAACTTATCCACAGGGTGACCATCAGACTTGGCACATCTGCGGTTTGCCTCTGAGCATGTAACTCAGCATACTATATTGAGGGAATATTCAAGAATGGAATATGGAAATGAAAAAAGATCTTAATTACATTGGGCAGCCTATTTCTGTCATATGCACACTCAACATGGATAATGATAAATAAAACAGATGCAGTCTGTCATTTTATCAGGGGATACGAGAAATGCTTATTTCTTCCAGTTTTCTGTTTTATGTGTACCCACTTCTACAGTCATAGTCCTCTACCTAACTTCCTCACCCCAACACCATCACCCTTTTAACATGGGTACCTACATTCACTCCCTGTTTTGTGATGGTAGGAGGAGGCCAGAACCAAGAGGGCTTTAGGGCAGTAATCCTCTGAGGGTTAGTTCAGTGACTTGAGATATGGAGCAAAGAGGAATGGGAGGTCAGGGGCAGCTCTTCTTCCACCAGCCGGGGCACAGCAGCCTTGAGAAGCTAAAGAGTATGAGTGGAGGGCAGCTTTCAAGTAGCTTATGCCCTCTGGCCTTGGGAGCTCAGGAGACGAGATGAGCTGGTTTTCCTTACAGCTAGGGCTTTCCATTTTCACTGCAGCATCTCAACATCCCCAAACTGGCAGCTCTTTGTTTTGGGAGTGAAGATGTGAGAAGAGACTAAAGCACAACTCCCCTTTCCAGGTGACAGCCTTGGAGTTGTGAGAGACATTTTTAGGGACAGTTCAACAATGATTTACTGGAAGCTTACTAGATACCAGTCAATGAGGAGGCTACACAGGCCACATAGCATGGCATAGTGGGCAAGAGAACTGGCCCTGCGGCCAGACTACTTTACCTTCTTACTAGCTATATGATCTTGGGTAAGTTTCTTAACCTCTCTAGGCCACAGATCTATCTCTGGAAAAATGGAGAGCCTATCATCTATCTCAAAGGATCATGTGAGGATTTAAGATGAGTTGATATATACCGAGTGCTTAGGTCAGAGTCTGGCATGTGGAAAGCACCATGTAAACATTATTGCTTGTGATTATTACTGCTATTAACCAACCACACCAGAGCCTGCAAACACAGTTGTGAAACAGGTACTATCCCCTTCATTTTACAGATGACTTTGGAAACTGGAATCCAGAAAAGCTGCAGAATCAGTAATGGCCAGACCTGGAATTAGAAGCTAAAGAGACCAGAAATCAGGAGACCATGATGCTGTCCTAGAGCCTGGGAGGACTCTGAAGAAAGGAGACAGAGGATTTAGAATTGCCCTGGAAAGGAAAGAAGGGCATGGAGAACTAGAAAAGTGCAAAAGAGGTACCAGAGGCTGCTCAAAAGGTGGAGTGCTACTGAGTGTGTGAGGATCCATTCCTTACACATCACCTTCTTCTTCTTCCCATCACTGGGGATGACTCTGGAACTACCTCCTGGTAGAAACTGGACATGAGCTCCTGAGCCCAGAGCTGCCTGGCCTGGCACTCTGTCCATAGAGGAGCCCAGCCTTGAAGGCTGGGGATTAGAGCCTGCTCAAGAGGCTCCAACAGGAGGCCCCCAACAAAACTGGGAAGCCTGGGCCTGGGCTTACCATCCCAGGGTGGCGGACTAGGATGGGGGATGGGCTTGTGATAGGAGGTGCCCTGGGTGTCCTCTTTCGGCCCCATGGAGTCCTCACCCATCCCCCAATCATCAGGGAACTCTTCCACTTTGGGAAGGGCCCTTCAAACTCCAGGTCCCTCTACTGCCAGCGGAGTCCCAGAATTGGGGCTGCAGGACGTGGCTTCAGAATCCGTGGCCCTCTTCTTCATGCTCCTGCTGGACCTCACTGCTGTGGCTGGCAATGCTGCTGTGATGGCTGTTATTGCCAAGACACCTGCCCTCCGAAAATTTGTTTTTGTCTTCCACCTCTGCCTGGTGGACCTGCTGGCTGCCCTGACACTCATGCCCCTGGCCATGATCTCCAGCTCTGCTCTCTTTGACCATGCCCTCTTTGGAGAAGTGGCCTGCCGCCTTTACCTGTTCCTGAGTGTATGCTTTGTCAGCCTGGCCATCCTCTCAGTGTCTGCCATTAATGTGGAGCGCTACTATTATGTGGTCCACCCCATGCGCTATGAGGTGCGCATGACACTGGGGCTGGTGGCTTCTGTGCTGGTAGGTGTGTGGGTGAAGGCCCTGGCCATGGCTTCTGTGCCAGTGTTGGGAAGGGTCTCCTGGGAGGAAGGAGCTCCCAGTGTCCTGCCAGGCTGTTCACTCCAATGGAGCCACAGTGCCTACTGCCAGCTTTTTGTGGTGGTCTTTGCTGTCCTTTATTTCTTGCTGCCCTTGATCCTCATCTTTGTGGTCTACTGCAGCATGTTCCGAGTGGCCCGTGTGGCTGCCATGCAACATGGGCCACTGCCCACATGGATGGAGACACCCCGGCAACGCTCTGAGTCTCTCAGTAGCCGTTCCACCATGGTTACCAGCTCTGGAGCCCACCAAACCACTCCACATCGGACGTTTGGGGGTGGGAAGGCAGCAGTGGTCCTCCTGGCTGTAGGGGGACAGTTCCTCCTCTGTTGGTTGCCCTACTTCTCTTTCCATCTCTATGTTGCCATGAGTGCTCAGCCCATTTCCACAGGACAGGTGGAGAGTGTGGTGACCTGGATTGGCTACTTTTGTTTCACTTCCAACCCTTTCTTCTATGGTTGTCTCAACCGGCAGATCCGGGGTGAGCTTAGCAAGCAGTTTGTCTGCTTCTTCAAGCCAGCTCCAGAGGAGGAGCTGAGGCTGCCTAGTCGGGAGGGCTCCATTGAGGAGAATTTCCTGCAGTTCCTTCAGGGGACTGGCTGTCCCTCTGAGAACTGGGTTTCCAGGCCCCTACCCAGCCCCAAGCAGGAACCACCACCTGCTGTTGACTTTCGAATCCCAGGCCAGATCGCTGAGGAGACCTCAGAATTCCTGGAGCAACAACTCACCAGCGACTTTATCATGTCGGACAGCTACCTCCGTCCTGCCCCCTCATCAAGGCTGGAGTCATGATGGGTCCCTGGACACTTGGAGGGAAATAGGGCTTGGAGTTGGTATATGATCCCAAGGACTGCCTTGTGGAACCACCTTTTTCCAACTGGCTGGGGTTGGGGCTGGGGTCTCTGCATATAGCTTTTGCTTGGTGTTTCCTGGGTCAGGACCAGAGCCAACAAGATGGACATGTGGCAAAAGCCTTGGACTTGGCTATGATATTTGACTATTGGGGGAGGGAGCCTGGGTATGGTGAGATGGTGACAAGAGAAAAGGGTCACAAAGGTGAGGTGGAGCCTTTCAACAGGTGAACTTTTCATGCCTCAGGAAACAGGGAAACTCTCTAAGGGTAGGAGTTGGAGGATTAGGGCAGCTGGCTAGGTACAGTTATTCTGGGGACCACTGAAGACTTTTTTTTTTTTTTCCAGTGTACTAGTCCAGGGTAATACTTGCACCAAAGCAAGGTAAGAAAATAGCCCATGTCATCTCATTTCCTCACTAGGGTCATAAAGAGCAAAATTGTAGCTAAGTGTTTCCATGAGTTAATAGACCTGTTAAAAAAATTTTTTTTTTGGTGTTTTTGAGACAGGGTCTCCCTTTAGCCCCAGCTGTCCTGGAACTCATTATGTAGACCAGGCTGGCCTTGAACTCACAGAGATCCGCCTGTCTCTGCATCTCAAGTGCTTGGATTAAAGGTGTGCACCACCACACCCAGCCTAAAATTAAAAAAAAAAATATTTTATGTGTATGAGTGTTTTGCCTATATGTAAGTACCCATGTCAGCAATGCCATTGGAGACCAGAAGAGGGTGTCAGATCTCTTGCAACTGGAGTTACAATTGTTAGTCACCATGTGGGTGCTGGGAACTGAACCCTGGTGGAAAAGCAGCCAGTGCTCTTAACCAATGAGCCATCTCTCCAGCCTGATAGACCCTTTTAAAAGTTAGTATCTGAGGTTATCTTAAAATGAGAAGACCAGTAGGATCAACTCTTTTCTGGATTTGGTCAACAGCAATTAGGGTACGTGGAGCAGAAGACAGGAAGCTCCCACTCATGTCTCACTCTTCTGTCCCCTTCCTGTTTGATTTTAGCAGATACATGCATAAAAGATAGGATGTATTTTTCTCCTGGTCCTTTAGGATGAGTAACTAGAATGACTGGGGGGATCAGAGAGTTGAGGGTGGGGGCTAGCATATGAATTGGTAAAATGGCAGGATAGAGAGACTAGGTAAAACACCCTGATCAATAATATTGCAAATCTTTTCTTTCTAGGACTGACCTCCCTGATCTCTCTCCTCATGGCAGTGACCCACCTCCAGCCCCCTGGACAATCGGGTACAAGAGACTAAGGTTGGGCATGGGAAAGGTGGGGTTTCCATAGTCTATTAAATGCCTCCCTATTGGTCATCACTCTCAAAATTAGCTTCAGTGACAAAGACTTAAATCTGTCTCCTATCTGTGGTACTGGGTTGGAGAGAGAGCAGAGAGTTGGGCTTGGCTGTTTACAGATTTAAGACTAGAAACCATGTTGATTAGTATTGGCAATGGTATTTTAAATAGAGAAGGATTAGTTGCAAAGTAATGGACAGGACACCTATCTGGGACCACTTGCCCATTTCACTTCCCTCAATTGGACACTAAATAGTCAAAGTAGAGCCAGAGGGTGGTGTGCTCTATATTTGAACAAATTTTTGGTTCATTGAACACTAAAGGGGGAAAACGGGTTGGGGGTGTGGAAGTTTCCCCCTTTGAACAGCCAATAAATAATTTTTATGATAAAAGTTATATTGATATCAACACTGACTCCTTCAGTTCTATTCAGTGCATAAATAGTTGAACACCAGTATTCCCTGGTGTTTATCTGTGTGTGTCCTTTGCCTTTAAGGAGTTTATAGTCTAATTTGAACAGATATTTGTATTTTTGTAGCGCATTTAGGTCTGCTAAGTGCTGCAGAATACATTTGAGAAATGTATTATTAGAGAACATAGTCATGGTTCTGACTTCTGAGAGTTCATTGAACTGATACATACAGCCTTTCTGCAGATTGTAGAAAGCATGGGACTTGTAAATCAAACTCTCTAGCGGAGAAAATAACTGATTAAATGAAACTGGGCAAACAGCTTTTTCCTCTTTTGAAGTAGGTAAATTTCCAGGTTTCTATCTTCCTATCTTTAGTGTATTATTCTAGTCTAGTGCCTATTCCACCAAGAAAATACTCTAGAAAGCATACACAGCAAGAACAGTCCTTTGTCATTCAAAACCATGGTCCTTTCCCTTTTAAGATAAACTTATGCTAAGAAATTCTCTTTCCTACTACTAAAGGGGAAAAAACTTTCATATACCCGTAATCCACTAAGCAGCTGGTAGACCCAGAAATTGCCAGCAGATGGCAGTGTGAGTCCAGTAGAAATAGAAAAGGTGTGCCTATGGAGAGTTTTGTGTGTGTTTTGTGTGTGTGTGTGTGGGGGGGTTAAACACTGCTTGGCAGCCATTTTGTTAATTTATTTGACTTTGCCCTCCAACCCTCCTTTCACATACATAAAATGCAGAAGTTTTAAAAGCAAGAATATCACTAATTTAGCCTGAAAATAACCAGACACTAAGATCTTGCTGGCATTTCCCTAGTGAGTTTGACATAAATGGATTCATTTGCCATTTATTTTTTGTTGTAGGAATGGCTCATGAACGAAGTAAAAATTTTTTTATTTGCAGAGAATTTCCCCAACTTTTGCTATGCCCAACTTCCAGGATTTTTCCAGTTACCAGGATGGGTTGTAAAAGTTCAAAATACAATCCTTAGCCCTGTTCCTGGAATAAATTTCCCTAATATGTTGAAGCAACAGGATGAGACAGTCATCCTGTCAGTTACTTATTCCTATATCCTGGTATTTGAGTGACTTCCATCCCAGATGAAAACTTCAGACTGTCTGTTGTCAAATATCTCTAAGCAATCTTCTAGAGGCCTGATAGAAAAAAGGGGTAAAACTGGAATTTGATAGAATTACTTACTGTATGAACATGGGAACACTGCTTAAATTCTCTGAGCCTATTTCCTCATCTGTAAAAATGGGGATCAATATTACCTACCTCACAGGGTTGTTGTGAGGATCAGAAGGGGTGAGACATGGAGGCGGCTAGCCATACCTGGCAAATAGGTACTTAATAAATGTTGGTTTTCCCCTTTCTTCTTACCCTTTTCCACAAAAGTGCTGATAAAGGAAGTCTCTTTCCTAACAGTCATTTGGAAATCAGCCAGAGACTTCAAACTTTGAGGGATAGACTTGATAAGCATTGTGGTGGAGAGGATGAGGTTAAGGTGGTTCTAATCTTCTAATTAAATGGTTCTAATTAATGAATTTTCACTATATAGATCTTTTTGTTGGGATTTTGCATTTTAAGCTTAGCATCTATTAGATAAATACATTTCAAATTGCAGGGAAAGGTTTTAGGAGCTGCATAAAAGTGCCTCTACCTAGAATGGTAAGAGTCGCAGTGCGGCTATTTGGCAGTAAAGGTATTTTAGGATTACCTTCAAAGGATCAGTAGCACAAAAGGGTATCAGGATGCAGATTTAGAAACCTTCAGGTGATCCCAGAGAGACAAGTCTCACTAAACTTCCCTACAGTTGGTTTATGCTGGCAAGAGGGGCAACATTGACATTTTTATGAACTACACCTGCCTTTCAGGTTAAATTTTTGCTAGCAGTTGTGATCCTTTGTTTACATAGGAGCCAGGCAAATGTACAGCCCACAGATTCACATGGAGTAACAGAAGGGACAAGACTGTACGTGGGGGATCAGAGAAGGCCTAGTCCTAGGCATAATGGGTGTTAAGAGATGTCAATTGGGGCAGTTTGTTCCCAACTCATAGATCAGACGGAGACAACTGTGGCTCAAGTGTCCAACACTGCGCTTTGGGCAGAGGCCGGGCTCGGAGATCACAAAGGGGTCTTCTCTGACAGGAGACTGTACTAGTTCAAGTTCCCCATAGGGCAGTGGGCTCTGTGTGACCTTAGGAGAGCACAGGCAGCCCGGAAGACCCGCTTTTTAACCAAATCGGAGAACTCCAACAGTAAAGGGACGACGGCTGGGTGATCGGAGAAGCAGAAACACAACTCGGCGGTGCTAAGGAGCCGCCCACGGTACCGGGGACTTCCGCCGATCTCGCCTTCCCTCTCAGCGCCACAGTGGTTCAAGTGGTAGCGGCCGCAGGGCGTCGCCGGAAGTATCGTAAACACCGGATATCCGGTTCCTCCGGGCACTCGGGGAGCTGACGGACGAGGCCACCGCCCCGCCGTAGACGCTGTATCAGCCGGAGTAGCTGCCGTTCGCGCGGTGTGTGAGTGAGCCCGGGCCGGGTCGCCTCTCCCGCCGCCACCATGGGCTGCACGTTGAGCGCCGAGGACAAGGCGGCGGTGGAGCGGAGCAAGATGATCGACCGCAATTTGCGGGTGGACGGGGAGAAAGCGGCCAAAGAAGTGAAGCTGCTGTTGCTCGGTGAGGGGCTGGGGCTGGGGCTGGGGCTGGAGCTGGAGCTGGAGCTGGAGCTGGAGCTGTGGGTCCTGGGAGCCGGGTGCTCGCGGAACCTGAGCGGGGTCGGCTCCCCGGGCACCGAGGGGCGGAGGCTCGGCCTGTACCCGAGCCCCGGAAGGCGTGGGATTTCGGATTGTAAGAAGTAAGTTGGAGAGGGTGTAACCAGGCAGGGATGGCGCCTAGCAGAGTTTGGGAGTCTGGAGCCTTGAGACTGAGTTAGGAATCCGGAAAAGGCTCGGGCTGGAGGGTCCGAAGTTAGGTTTTCTGTGGGGTTGGAACCTGTTGGAACCAAGAGGACTAGAGTATGTTGGGCTTGGACAATGGTTTGTGAGCTTTCGGTGAAGATTAAAGCTGGAGGGATTGAATGAATTCGTAGAGGAGCTAGGACCAAGGGTCACAGGAAGACCCTGTCGTTTGTTAAAGAGAAGCAGTTATTTTGTACAGTTGTAGTGTGGGTTGAAGGGGAGGAACTTGAAGGGGAGGCGGATGAGATAAATGACAAATTCTTAGATATAAAAGAAAAGAGCTTGGGTGTAGAGACCGTTTAAACCTTTTCACCGTTTTCTATCATTTTTAAAAAAGTCTCTTAAGGTTTTATAAGTCCTGTTTATTGAAGGAAGGGAGAAAGGGATGGGAATGGAGTAAGCTGAGGAAATTCAAAGACTGGCATGCATCTTTGAGATTTGCGATAGAAGATCTAGTGGACGATAGACCACACATTGGGTAGTGCTAGGAATGTGCATTGGGAATCGAGTTAATTTAGGATAAATCATGGATTGGGGCATATTTACTTTAAGACTGTGATAACTTTTGGGGAAGTTATTATTTGGGATTTTCAGAGTAAAAATATTAACCTCCATACTAGGATGTTGCCTTATACTTGTTTTCATTGGCATTTATATACAGACAAATGTGTTTTGATCAGGATCATTTAATCTTAAACTTTGATAGGCCCAGTAAAAACATAAAGTTCTCTAGTGTTAGTTTATCAATAAATCTTTATTCATATTTTCTAGTGATCTATTAGATAAGTAGGCGTCATATGTTCTATAAGCAACAGAACTTTAAAAATACATTCATTTTTGAAGGAAAAGAGTGACTTTAGAGTACTGTATTTCACTCTGTTAAGCTCCAGAGGACAATCACAACCACCATTCTGGGACTTCTTTGTACTTCAGGAAGTGCTGGGGCCCTTGTTTGTGCGCTGTAGAAGCTCCAGTGACAGGTTTTTTTCTTTTTTTTGGATATAAAGGAAAAGTTATGTACTTGAGCTTCCAGAAGGTATGAGTTCAGATCCTAGTTCTAGACCACAGTATCTGTATTACAGACATACTCTGTGGATGAGCATGGCTCCTGGCACATTGTAAGTACTTAAGTATTTACTATTAACCAGTTTGAGCCAACTCATGTAGGACATTCAGCCTTGGGGCCTTGCAGAAGCCCGGATACAAAACACTGCACTCAAGCTGTTAGCTCTTTCTTCTTCCTCTCTCTTTCTCCCCCTTTTTTCTCTCCCTCTCTTTCTTTCTCTAACTCTTAATTTTTAATTTCTTGAGACTATATCACTATGTACTGAACTGGTCTCCAATTCTCCATCCTCCTGCCTCAGCTTCTTCAGAGCTGAGATTACAGTTTACATCACCATAACACTGGCATTAGCAGTTTCAATATTGATTATGAAATTAGAGGTGTGTTCTCATCTTCTGTGATTTGATTTCTATTGACTGTTGAGATAGCCTCAGGATATTAGCCTATCATAATACAGTTGTAAACCATGTAGCTTTCTGCCAATTGACAGGATTTGATAGGCAGAATTTGTCTAAATATCTGGAAAAATCTTTCAGAACTGTATAAATAGTACAGATAATTTTTAAAAACTAAGCACATGATAACATGGAATTTGAAAAGTAAGTGAAAATCAAAGTACTGAAACATTTGTTTTTAATTTTCACCAGCTTCATTGGTTTTGGTATTTTTGTTTTGTTTTTAGTCAAGGTTTTGGCCATAGGCTTGTCTAGCCTCAACTTCATGAGGTCATATAACAGAGATTACAAGTGTGTGCTCATCCCATGAGGCTTTTTTTTCTTAACATTTAAAAAAATTATTTATTTAATAACCACATAATTAGAAGAAGCATTTCATTACAACAGCATTGACATATTCAATAACAATTTCCAGAGCTAAGATATATCTCTTTCAAAATTGACTGTAAATTTTTAGGTTCACAGTTGAATTAATACAGTTATACAATATTGAACTCTGTATAAAGCCCATAAGACATAAAATTGAATGAGGTTTTAACCTTTAAGAAACATCTGCATTTCATTTTAAAATATATTGTTTCATACAGAAAACAATATCATTTTTAATGCTACCAACACTTAGATGTTTGCATATGCATCTCTAATCTCTATGTACCTGAGTATTACTAGTCAGAGTCGGTTACTTTCTGAGATCCTTGGCACCTGAGCATGGATATAAGGTCATCAGGTAGATTTTAATGGTAGTATTTTTCACCTCTACTAATTAACATGAAGCAAATTTTTATGCTTCTTCCTCAAATATAACAAATTTCATTACAGCTTTAACATATTCAGTAACACACTCCAGAGCAAGGATACATCTCTTTCAAAAGTGGCTGTAAATTTTTAGGTTCACAGTTGAATTAATATAGTTATACAATATCGAACTCAGTATAAACCCTGTAAGATATAAAATTGAATGAGTTTTTACCCTTTAAAGAAGCTCTCCAGTGCCGGGCGTGGTGGTGCATGCTTTTAATCCCAGCATTTGGGAGGCAGAGGCAGGTGGATCTCTGAGTTCAAGGCCAGCCTGGTCTACATAGTGAGTTCCAGGACAGCTGGGGCTATAGGGAGACCCTGTCTCAAAAAGATCCAAAAAAAGAAAACAGAGATATTTCCGTCACTGTGAGGATTAAGTATGGTAATAATGTAAAGTAAAACATGGCTAGTGAGTATTAACTGTTCTGTTGTTAAAGTGAATGTTATAGATTATAAGTTCTGTAGAAATTCAAATTAATAAATTAATACGGGCTTAATTATTAAGGAAGACTTCTGTATTGTAATTCCTCTTTTGGTTTGAATTTCTTTTAGATATTATTGGGAAGATCTTGGTATACCAAATTACTGTTTAACTACAATTTTCTATAGACTGACATAATTGTATTATGCAAATATTCCCAACCAGTGTGTGTAGTGTGCTACGTAGATGTGCTGCTTGCAATTTTTTTTTTTGTATGCTCAAATTTTAAGTTTTTTTTTCCCCGAGACAGGAGCTTGTGTATATACCTTAGGCTGGCCCAGAACTCCTGATCTTCCTGCCTCAATCTCCCAAGTATAGGATCATAGGTATGTGCCACCACAGCTGACTCTCAAATCATAACGTCAAAATTTATGGCAGTTAAAATAATATTTGGATATTTGTGGTGTGATTCCTTCCCTCTGTTAACTTCTTCAATTTGGCATTTTGGAAAGAAGAAATTTTTTTTTTCTTGTCTTTTTGAGACAGGGTCTCCCTGTAGCCCCAGCTGTCCTGGAACTCACTGTGTAGACCAGGTGGCCTTGAACTCACAGAGATCCACCTGCCTCTGCCTCCCAAGTGCTGGGATTAAAGGCGTGCACCACCATGCCCGGCCCTGGAAAGAAGAATTTTTTTAAAGGTTTATGATTTATTCCATTTGGATATTTAATATCATCAGTAATACTTACATTTCATTTTCATGGCATAATTTCATAATATAAAGAAAAAATATTTTTCTTCAAAGCCCTCTAGTGACCCTTACCAGTAGTCATTTCCTGTATCTGCCATGATGTCTTCAAAAGTTGAGAGGCCCTAGGCACTACTTTTGGTGAATTAAGTTCCCACCTGCATTTATTAGCTGTGAGACCCAGAACCATATGAATCATTATATTCACATATGTAAAGTAGGGATGATTGTGCCTGTATCATAACACGAAATGAGATAATGTATATAAAATGCTTATTGTTAGTGTCTAGCAAATAATAGTCAGTATATGGCAACTTCTATCAATTTATTTTCTTGAGGCTTATCATTTTAGTTCCTATTTTTAGGGCTGTTCCAGACAGATACTTGCTATTTTTTGTTAATATGTTCTTTGTAAAGATCCTCAAAGAATTTTATAAATACTCTTTATGGTGAAAAGATATACATTTTTATGGCAAAACCTAAGTTGCTTGCAGAGAATTGGAATACTGTATTTAAATTCCATATTAGACAATTGGTTGTTCATACATAAAATTGCATATTACTAACTGAATATGGTTATTATTGAAAAGAAGATTTTTGGGCTGGAGAGGTAGCTCAGTGCTTAAGAACACCGGTGCTCTTGCAGAGGACCTGGGTTTGGTTCCTAGCACCCTCATGACAGCTGATAGTGGTCTGTAACTCCAGTTACAAGGGATCCAGCAATCCTCCTCTGGCCTCAGGCATTGCACGACATGAGTGCACTTACATACATGCAGCCAAAACATTCATATACATACGTACATAAATAAGTAAATGATAAATAGATTCTCCTTGGCTTCTCCTATAGGATGATAGCCATTGTAGTGTTTGTTAGTTATTTGGGGTAAGGTTCACAGAAGCTAAATTTCTTATTTTTGAGACAAGATCTCACTATGTATCCGTGGCTGGTCTGCAACTTGCTCTGTAGGCTTCTGCCTTCCAAGTGCTAGGATTAAGGGTATGTGCCACCATGCCCGGCCATAGAAGCTAAATATTTGTGAGGATTTATCATATCTGGAGAAAAAAGAGAAACTGGAATGAAAAAATGGAAATGGGCATTGTAAAAAAGGAGATTCTTTTTCATGATTACTTATTCTTTGTGTCTTTTTTTTTTTTTTTTTTTTTTTTGAGACAGGGTCTCCCTGTAGCCCCAGCTGTCCTAGAACTCACTTTGTAGACCAGGCTGGCCTTGAACTCA